GGGTTACTAGACCCAGAGGCCACCTCTCCTGACCCAACTGGTAGTGGAGCAGCTGTAAGTGATGGCCCAGCTGAAGGCAACGAGGTAATCCCCGTATTTGGAGCCAGGGCAGGCTCAGGCCCCTGACTGGACCCAGCTGGTGCTTGTTGCAGGGGAACCTGTGCAGACTGGGGCTCTTCAGGATCAGGCCCCAGAATCGGTTCAGATGCCGCCTGAGGCAGAGGATCAGGTGTGGACTGAGACTCCTCCGGCTCTGAGTCTGAGCCCCAGTCCCAGGCCATCACAATAGGACTCTGGTTTCTAAAACTCAGGTGTATTTCATCTGGTCATGAGAGGCAAGTGTAATGTTATTTCTATTCCTCTGTATGAGCCATATTCTGAGTGGTGGCTCCTGCTGAACTGAAGCAGGCAGCCTGTCCCTGCCTGCCCTTTCTCATGTGCCAATGGGAAATCGAAAGGAGCTTTGTAATGTCAGGTATGAGGTAATTGCCCCACATCCATGAACTTCGTTTGACCCAGCTGAAGCAGACCTAAATCAGCCATTTACTCCACGAGACTTGGACCGCATGAAACGCCGGCCTGGACTCTTTTCTGGTGTGCCCATATGTTTTCATTTTATAGGCAAGCTTACGGCCTATAATGAGCCAAAAGAAGGAGGTAATGGTGAAGGAGGAGGGGAGAGGGAAGGGAGAGAGAGAAATCCCAAGCCATTCTAAGCCATATTGCCGCAACAGTAAATTTTTCAATCAACATTTATTTAAGAAATATGTAGACACTTCAAACGATGGGTGTACGGCAGTTATTAAAGTTGTCATCTGTTGACAAATGGGTTGTAATTATGGTATTTGCAAGAGCATTACACATATGTTGCGCTGACATCTCCAGTTTATGGAGAGAGAATATGAGAGAGAGAGAGAGAGAGAGATGTATCTATATTCCTAAAGCAAAGCTGCATCTGTAGATCCAAATCAGCCAAGAGAAGCCTCCAAGGGCTCTTATTTAAATAATAATGGGTTAATATGCTTTATGAATAACTATTAGGTAATGAAAAGGAGAGCTTTGATTCTCTGTGAACAAAGGAGGCCTCACGCAGGGATACTGCTGGCCCTGGCATTAACCATCCAAATTGGGGAGGAGCAGGAGGGTGACAGACTGGCTTCCATCCAGCCTGCTACAGCCATCTTTGTCTTAAGAAATATAACCGCCGCAGTTTTGTTATTTATGATCTTTCATTTACTGTGCCTGCAGGAGCTTTTGCAGGAAGACTTTAATGAGCATAACAAATAGCGAGTAAGTTGAATCCAAAGAAACAACGAAGTTTGGGGTCTCAGCCTTCTGTATTCTTCATGTAGCTTTTATTTTTCCTCATGTAATCTCTATGTGACCCAGGTAATTCCTGCTCTTCCAGACAGAGCAGGTGCAGGTTTCCTTGTTTGGTTTTCTTACATTTATATCACACCCATTTTTCCTCCAATCATGGAGACCAAGGCAGTGCAGATGTGTTTCCCACACCCCGACCCACTTAGCCTTCAGCAAGGTGGCAACCTCATATGCCTTTTGACACACAGGAGAGATTCAAGCAGTTGTGCAGTTGTCTTGATGCGCAACCTTCTATGGGCCAGTCCAGACATTTACAAGGTTGCTGAGAGTCTCCGTGTGGAGGCTTCATATGACAGTGAAGTGGGCACATCTCTGCTTCACCATAATGCAGGAAGCATCACATGTGATAAAGCTCTCCATAGGAAAAGTTGGTTGAATGGACATGGTTCACAAGACTTCAGGAAAGGGGAGAGATGCATGGCATGATTCTTCTTGCAGTGGGGTATCTCCACATGATAACATCTCCCCAAAAGATAGGAGACATCATTTTGCCCCCTTTTTTTGAGAGAGCAAAATTGCACAAATTTGGTCAGAGCCATTGATTTCTCCACCATGCAAAGATTCCTGCTGGCCTAGGAATTGTCTGAAGGAAGTGAAAGCCACATCTGAATGTCTGGGCTGCCATCACTGAACAGTGTGGTGTTTTAATATGGACATTCTGATTACAGAGTCTGTTCATTGTTGGATCCAACCACCACTTGATGTTGCCAGTCATCAAACATAATTCCAAGTCAGGGTCAGCCCTTCCATGAGGCAGAGTGAGGTAGCTGCCTCGGGCAGCAAATTCTGAGGGCTAGAAATGTGTGTTAGATAGCAGCCCTTAAGCTAGCATGCTTCCACAGGGTGCGGTGGAGGACTCTGTTCCATTGCCAATGCTGAAGTAAGTTTGAAGAAAAGTTGGGATTGGCCCATGCTACTTGAATGGGGACTTGAAAACAACTGGAAGTGGATGAAGATGATAGAGTGTTTGGATGGATGGTTGGTTGTTCATTTGAAGGGAGCTGACTAACATCCTAGGTGCTGGAAGAATCTTGCACCAGGAAGCAACACTGAACTTTCTATGACCAAAAACCAAAAGCCTTCCATGAAGCAGACCAGAGAAGACCTAGAGGGCTCTGTGGTCTACAAGATTCTTGCAGAACCAGTTGCAAGGAATTGCAGATGGAGAGAAGTCTGTTGCTCTCTGTTTTTTCCCCCTTGGGCATTTGCTTGGCCATTATGAATCTGGATGATGGACAAGATGGGTCTCTGATTCAGAAGGCTCTTCTTACGCTCTTTATACCAAAATCTTAATTCTACCTGCTGCTAGTTAGCAGTCAGAGTTAGTGATTGCCGTGGGACTCTCCCAGGCAGTTTTGTTCTGTAAGAATCTCATCTATGATGTTGCATTCTTTGGCATTTGCTTTCCTTGGGAAACATCCCATGAAACTCCTTACGTAGGCCAGATGCCATTTCATTGATGAGATCCAGCACCAATTGGGAAGGATATAGGAATTAAATTATGGTGTTCATTCAAGCCAAACACACCTATAAAAACAGTTTAGATAATAGGTGTTGCATTTCTTGATTAGCAGCTTTTATAGTTCAATAAAGTGGAATGGAAATACATAGATGAATGGTTCCACAGAAGACATTCCAGAAGTCTACAATAAAAAAATATAGTTCCCAAGACTGAACATCTGTACATATAAAGTTACCAGCACTTCTTTTAACTTCCTTTGATCTTGGGGAAGAAGGAAAGTGAAGACAGAAATTGGCCCCTCATCTAAATGTGTTTTAAAAAGCTGGTGGAAAACAATGAGTGGTGGCGGCATTCCCACCCTCACTGAAATTTGATGAATCTGGTCCAACCACTAGGAAAATTAAAAATTTCATCTTGTGGTGCATTTCCAAGAATTGTTCAATTAACTCTCCATTCAGAGCCATGGCTTACAGCAGAAGCAAACTCTCCAAGTACAGTGATGAGATTTTTCAGGTTGTGTTTTTACTGCTAGTATTAATGCTTGTAAATGATGGGTTTTAAATTGGATATATGTACGACATGTCACAATAAGCAAGTTTCTAGCATAGATCATGCCTTTGCCATAGCCAGGTTTAAATTATGTGATGGGTTGTTTATGAAAACACCTTTTTATTGGGCATTATTAATACCCTGTGTTTAGATTGCTTTTAGCTGGATACTCTCTTTTTTTCATGGGACCTAATGAAAGCAGGAATAAATTCTAGCTTTTGGATGGCCCCAACAGCTGGCTAAATTAAGCCGGGACAGTATAAGTGGAGCAGATTGTATTTCAAAGCCATCGTATTCATTGAAACCATTTGTCCAGATAATGAAAAAAGAACCATTAAAGGGGAGGGTTGTGGAATATTGGAACTATTTTTATTGTAAATATCTAAGCTTCCAGTCAAGCTGCTAGGACATTGAAGTCTGATACCTCTACTGAAAACCAACAGAGAGAGGGGGAAATGAAGGAAAGATAGCTGTGTTGTCCTGTAAGAAAAATGCAAAAAACCAAAGAACCACACACACCGAAAAACCAACCACCAAATATTGCAGCCGTATCTTTATTAAGACAGCCAAAACTTCCCAAAAAGAGCAATAGTTTGCAAGTTCTCCAGATCTCTTAACATAGGACAATAGGAAAGCTGCCTTATACAGTCATACCTTGGAAGTCAAGCAGAATCCATTCCGGAAGTCTGTTCGACTTCCAAAACATTCGGAAACCAAGGCACATCTTCCGATTGGCTGCAGTAAGTTCCTGCAGCCAATTGGAAGCTGCAGAACCCATGTTGGATGTTTGGGTTCCAAAGAACGTTCGCAAACTGGAACACTCACTTCCGGGTTTGCGGCGTTCAGGAGCCAAAATGTACAACTTGCAAAGCATTCGACTTCTGAGGTATGACTGTACTGATTTGGGCCCTTGATGCATTTAACTCAGGACTATCTAAACTGACTGGTAGTGGTTCTCCAGGGTCTCAGGCAGCAGTCTTTCCCAGACCTACCTTGAGACCAGGTTTGAACTAGGTGTCTTCTACATGCAAAGCAGATGCTCTTCCACTAAGCCACAGAACCTTCCCTCATCTTCATCAGGCTAGAAGCTAAACAAAGCAGGTGGGGATTTAGCTAGCGGTAGCATCGAGTGTCTGGGTCTCATCAGTGTCTCTTGCAGCAGTATGGAAAAGAAGGGGAGCCATATCAGGAACACATACCAACCAACTTTTTCACACTCCCAGCCAGGACGTGCTTCTTCCAGGACGTGCTCCCGGGTGAATCTTGTGACCCATGCCTTGGTCTCATGTGTGTTTTGAGTGCCATGCAAGATTGTGCCCACACAAAAAGCATTTTTTCAGGGTGAGAATCATAGCTGTCAAGCGTCCCTTATTTTAAGGGGCAGTCCCTTATTCCAGTGCCATGTCCCGCTGCTGTCCCTTATTGATGGATGTCCCTTAAATGTCCCTTAAATGATGTCCCTTAAATTTCAAAGGAAGCAGCTCCTCTCCCTCCCTCCCTGCCGGCCAGGGAGGAGGGAGGCCCCAACTGTGTTGCTTGGCTGTGTTGCTCACCCAATAAGAAGTCTAAGAACGACTGGGGGGTGGAGCTTGCATGCCTTGTGCTGATCAAATCGGCTGCGTTGCCTGGGGACTCGCCTTTGCTCAGCGCTTCACAGTGGAGAGGTGACGGTAGTTTTCCTTGAGGCTTCATTTGGCTGCTGGCTGGGCTTTCTGCCTTTGGCTCAGAGGGGCTCAGAAGTTGAATATACCTGTGCTGAGTGCTCGGATCAGAATCGGATGGATGCATCATCGACGGCCCACTAACCCTTGCCGGCGAAAAGGTCTGTCTGGAGCAGGGGCACATGCTGGGGGGAAAGGAAAGGAGATATCGTGGGAGGGGGGGCTTTTGAATTTGTTTTGGAGGCTCCTTCGATTGACTTATGGGGAAAAAGAAAGGAGCTGGTTGACTAAAATGGTGGGTGACTGGCGATCTCGTGGCGAGGGGGGGAGGCTGTGTGTGTGTGTGGCTAGTTAATGCAAGCTGAGGGGGGGGTTGAATGCTGGATGCCATTTTGTTGCACGTGCTGCTGCAAACTTTGCAGTGCAAAGCCAGGCCAGGGAGCCATCTTAAGTTGAGGCTGCATAGGCCTTGTGGTGCATGTGATTCAGATTCTATTCAGTTGAACCTCTCATTACAAAGTTGGTTGGACAGTGTTCTCGTAGCTACCAATATGAGTTTGACCAGACTGCAGGAAGACAGGAAGACTGGAGTGCCTGGAACAGGTGAGGCTGCAGGTCCCTTATTTTGGCTGCTGATCCCTTATTTTCAAATCGGTAAGTTGACAGCTATGGTGAGAATGTGTCAGGCTTCGGGGAATCTGGTAAGAATGAAAGGAGTGTCCTTACCAGTTAGTTTCTTTAATAATCACAGTGAGAGACAAAGGAATGCATAACTCTCTAGAAATGGCATTGCTTCCAGTAAAGGCTCACCCTTTTCGTCCTCATTAATCTACGTCACTCCTACATCGGGTAATCTGAGCTTGTTGCTGCTGAGCTTTGAGAGTTCTATCACTCTCAAAGCCCATCTAGTTTTAGGCAAAGCGGGAGGGGTCAGGAATGCTGTCCAAGGACACTGAATCTGCCAGCAGTCTCTCTCCTGGTGTTTCCTCTTCTAGCTGTTCCTCACCCAGTATCTCCCAGCTTTTCACCTCTGGACTATGCCCTTATGCAAACCACTGTTCTAAATCAATACTGTCCTCCTGCCCTTGGGAAGGTTCAGGAGAAGGGGAGGGCAGCTCCCACCATTCCTCCTCATTCCAGCCCCTGACAGAACTAGGCGTGTGAGTGCACATGATTGCAGCTCCCAAAATGGCCACCGTGATCTTGCTCGAAAAACATGAATGTCCCATTTTTTCCCAGGGCACTTGGCATATATGAAAACATAGGAAGCTTCCTTATACTGAGTCAGACCAGAGGCCCTTCTAGCTATAGCAGTGGAGGCAGAACATAGCCATATGGCTTGTAATCATTGATAGCCTTGTCATCCAGGAATTGGTCTAAACATCTTTTAAAGTTGGCGTCTGCTAGTAAAGTTCTGACTGTAGGATTGGTTCTCGGCCACTTCCCTGCCCCTGCAACCCTTTCCGCTGGGACATGGTATCCAGCCCTCATTGGTCCCAGCTGGCCTTCATTCTGCAGAAGATGGCACTGGCTGACTGGCAAGTAGGGCAAGCTGCAGACATCTCCTGCAGAGAGGGATGGATTGACCCTTCTCTGCCCAGAAGGGATTCTTAGCTCCACACACACACATAAACCCTGTAACATTTTTCGCATCCTGCTGTTCTAAATGAATCACAGCCAGCTTCAGGTCATATCGTCTCCTGTTTACTGAGTTAGACATGGTGGAGAAACTCTTCAGACGAAGTGGGGTCCATTTGTAAATGTTAACTGAAATGGCAAGTCACAGGGCCGAGCTGTAGACATAAAGCTCCTAATGTAACGCGGCTGTTTTAAAGATTTCTAAACATAAATGCCTTGTGCCTGATGGATAATCAGCTAATTAAAAACACGTTCCAGTTACTAAATTGTTAGATTATGAGCCTAAAGGGACAGGAATCTTTCTCTTTTGTTTTTCAATAAAATTGCTGTTATGCAGCCTGAGCCTTTGGGATAGACCAGCTATAAAGCGGAACAAATGAGTGAATAATAAATTCTATAAGGTTGCCAGCAGCCACTGCGGTTTTGTTTCCATTGACCTGATCTTGATAATATCTTCAGCTTCTAAATAATGGGCAGCTGCTTCCCTGCCACCATGAATAAAAGAGAGATGGAGCAGGAGCAGTCAACTGCCAACTTCTTCCCTTCACCTTGGAACTGGCAAAGAGATTGCTTTCAGGGGTAGCCAACATGGTGCCTTCCACATCTTGTTGCACTACAACTCCCATCTTCCTGAGACCATTGACCATGTGGTCTGAGGATGATGGGAGTTGCAGGTCAAAACATCTGGAAGGCCCCATCATAAGCACACTTCCTGGGGAGCGTCTCGTTGAACTCAGTGGATTGTGTAAACATAGGCAGGATAGAGTTATATGTCCATTGGGTTTCAGTGGTAACATGTTTAGCTATTAGGACAAAGATGTCATGGAGGGGAGTAACGGTGTTCCCTACTAGTATATACTCAGGTTGCTGTTGCTATCAGGCAGACTTATAAAGAGATGCTGAACTTATAGAAATGGCAAGTAGTCATTATGGTCCATGACAGGGGAGGAGGAAATTCCAAATAAACATTAGGGTGTTGTATTGTCTTGATTAGGAGCTGGGCCAACTAAAATGTCAGAAGGTAGCAAGTTCTATTTCAAGGAACAAATTTATTTATGGGCTAGTCAATGGTTCTGCACTACTGGAGCTTTTAAGGTTACAAAGCCGTTCCACAATTGGCCAGAGTGCATTCATGTTTTCTTAAGAGATTTCTGAACCGAACTTTCTTTTTAAGTTAACCTGGACTGGAGATACTATCTCGGTCTTGTTAATGACATCCTTGTAAACCCTTTAAAGATGATTGAAGCTAATCAGGATGTAAACCATTTAAGTAAAACAAATAAATAATGCATGTGTTGAACCATGCTCCCAACTCGTAAAAGAAATGAAGTCAAGGCATGAAGGAACCCCATATCTTCACAAATATCTGTCTGAAGAGATGGATGTCAGTTCCTTCTAAATGAGTTCACTTAAGAGACGTCACCCCCAATGTGCTAATTTGTTGGTGGTGATGGTAACAGTATTTGTTTGATTTCTTATTTGCCCTTCACCCAGGGTGGATTATAATCATTTAAAATTTAAAAATGCAATATTGAAATCAGTTAGAACAAATGATCATCAAGAGAACAGGATGGGGCCTAAAAAAATTCTTTCAGGTGTCAAACATCAGGGTAAAATGCTGTGTCTTTGGCACATGACAGAAATGACATAATTAAGATGAGGAAGAAAATCCACAATTTAGGGCTGTCATGGAGAATTTGTCATGCACACATACACCCACCAAACTTCTGAGGTTGGTGGAACTACCAAGAAGGCTACCTCTACCAATCTTAACACCCAACTGAGCCAGTAAGGATGGAGGTGGCTTTCAGATATTTAGGGCTTTAAACACTACTGTGAGCTCCTTAAATTAGGCCTGAAAACAAACTGGCAACCAGGACAGCTGTTTTAAACAAAGGGTTATGTGAATTCTACATGGATACCAGCCAACAATCTGGGTGCTCATTTTGGACCTGCTGACATTTCCAAACCAGCATGTTGCAGTGATTTAGAGTATCAGACTAGGACCAGGGAGATCTGTGTTCAAATTCCCACTCAACCATGAAGATCAATGTGAGATCTTGGTCTGTCACTAGCTCAAGTCAACCTCACAAGAAGAAGGGGGGGAATGGGGTGCAGGGAAACATCCTGAATTCTTTGGAGCCCTCAGAAATATGACTGGGTGCCTGCCTTCTGAAATGTTTAATTCCATAATTCCACCATCATAGAATGGAGCATAAAGCATAGCCTGAGAGGGCTGTGTTTGTGTTTGTGTGGTTATCCCAATTAATTCTTTTGTAACCAAATTCCAGTGCTACCACAAAAGGGTTATTCAACACTCCATTTAAATGCATTTTTTAAAAAGTTATATTCCAGCTCAGATGTAGCATCTTTTTGAGCATCGAGGTGCCTTTGAAAATTAAACACACACAAGATATTTCAGCAAAGAAGAGAGGTATTGTGCATTTAGCATCCATGATGACAGAAAGCACAGTTCAAGCCACATAGATGAAGAACAATGGAGAAACGTTGGGAACAGGAAATATCTGCTGTACACATTAGCCTCACTCTTGCTGCAGTAGATGGTCCAGGTGGGGTCATGTATTGACCAGGAAGGAGCTGTAGGCATTGTTGAAGAGAATAGGCAAATCCCAAAGCATTCATTCTCCAATACGCAGCTGTGATGTACAAGACAAACAAGCACAAAATTGGGCCAGTAACAAAGGCACACAATAGAAATCAAAGGGCAATCCATGTATGGTGGCTTCTAAGAATAATACTCTTTATTCTTCCTTCCTTTTTTCTTTTTTTACTTAATATATTCTATGCCGTCGGATTTTATGTGATTTTCGCTCTCTCAAAGGTTTGCAATGCCTATACAAAAACCAGAAGTGTACTGAGGCTTCAAAGATATTTGCACAAAATATTGCTTTTAGTAACCTCTAGGAGGTGGAGGAGGAAAGAGACCGGACCTGGGTCTGGTGTTATTTTAAAACTATACCATTTGCTGAGCACCTCATTAGTCTGCCTGCCAGCCAGGCAGGCAGCCACAGCAGCTAAAGGGAACATCCAGATTCCGTAGGGCATGCGTCTTTCAATCTCAGCTGCTAGGGGCAATAAATGCTCTCCTTTGAGTCCAGCTTGTGGTCTCTCTCTTCTGACTGGACCATGCTAGCAGGAGATCAGCAGCTCAGATGCCCTCTTTCCCTGATCCAGCAGGGTTCTTGTTGCATTCTTCTGCCTGCTTCAGGAAAAGAGGGAATAAAGGGGAGGGGGGAGGATTTTCATCACCACAATTCCCAGCACAAGTTGACTTTTCGGTTTATTGATTTCCTGCCGTTGTTCTCATTCTGTCCTTCATTGATTCATAACATTTCTCGCAGCCCAACTCATTGTGTGTTTACTCAGGAGTCCCACGGACTTCAAAAGGGCTTACTCTCAAGTAAGAGCTAGGAAGGTGGGGGCGGGGACTGAATTCATATTTTAATGCAAACCTGCCTAATCTGCACTTTCCAAGACAATATGTCAAGGGAAACAGAGCTGTCCTTTGAAAGTTGCACTTCTCCAAAGGTGGTGATGCAGCTCTCTGGGAAACTAATGCATACAGATAATGTATATTAGGGTTAAATGTACTTTAAAATGCATGTGTTACTGGTAGGAACTTAAAATAGGCACTCCACTAGGGGAAATTGCTTGCAAAAAATTGTGGATCAGGTAAAATTCCATACAAAAAGTAGAGTATTGGCCCAAATGCTGATGAATGTTATTGATTATTATTATTTCTTAAGGTTCTCAAGTTCATGCAGAAATGTGGAGAAATGAATGAAAGATTGGGAAAATGAGAAACCAAAATTGACAAATGTGTCATCCCTAATACCAGTGCAATGATGTACTCAGAGGTAAGCTTTGTGGAACTTTCTCCCAGGCAAGTGAGTATAGGATTGCAGCCAAAGGGCACATAGGATTGCATTGCTAGTCAGCTTTTTATTTTTTAAGTGCTCGGAGCCATGAAATAAAAACATAGCAATAATAAAATAAAAACCAGCATAATAAAACAGCAGATCCGACTTTATTAAAATAACAGAGAAAAATTTCGCTTCAAAAAATACTGAAATAAATTCCAAAGGGGTTTTAGTGAGGAAGACCTCACTAGACTCCACCACAGTCTATTGATGCTCATGAGCCAATTGTGTTGATGCTCAATGGAACTGATAGGGCAGAAGGAAGGGAGACCAAAAGTAGGTGAAGCCAGAACCAATGACAGACAGAGCCAACTACTTCTAGTTTTGTCCCCTTTCTCTTCTTCCTCTACAAGGGCAACACCAAGACTAGGGGCTCCCTCTGAGTCTGACATCATTCACAAATATCTGCGACAATTTTACTGATGCCAACACAGTTACTCATGATTTAACATAAGCGCAAGTGATTGTCTCCCATCCTTAACCCAGCATCTGCAGGTCATAAAGCAAAAAAACAAACGGGGGAAAAACCTATGTACAGAAAAATGATTTCATAGTAAATGTTGAAAAACAGGAAATAGTGAAAAGGGCAACTCCGGTAAATGGATTTCCTCAAGGAAAGGAAATGTGGAGGGACGTGGAGGAAAGATTCTAAAACAACTGTCTGAATGAGTGCCAAACAATTATAATTCTCAGCTCAACACAGGAATGAATGGATGCTAAAGGAATCAGAGACAATTTATTCCCCATGCACAATAATTAAAGGATTCAGCTAATGCATTGGGCAAACTTAAATAGTGTGTGTTTCAGGGTGTGTACGAGAGAGAGAGAGAGAATTGTTATATTTTTTTACAATTGGCTGATTCCTGCCTTTATTCGTCCTCTGACTTTTTCTGATCATAAAATTGATCTACACACTGTTGTGGACATGCCGTAAACAACAGTGCATTGACCTTCTGAAACTTTGTCTGGAGACAGAGACAGGCAATACTTTGAAGAGTGATGAAGGCGGAAGGATAGAGCCATCATAACCCGTTATGTAGCACATGTTCAAGTCTTTTTTTCCACCTCTCTCATCACAAGCCAAACAGGTTTTTGAGGCTTTTGAACAATCTGCTAGACCACTGGTGACACCAAGTCAGAAGTAACCAGCATGAACTCCTCCCTCCCCCTCCCCCCGCCCCACACACAGAGAAGCACACCACCAATATTTTTATATATTTTTCATTTCACTTTCAGCTCTCTGGAGGAAAGAAACAGTATCTTCTGCCTTCAGCTCAAATTTCCCAAGTTTTGTTTCACCACAGCCAGTGATGAATTCAATGCCCCTAAATAAAAGGCGCAATTTGCAAAAGCCACCATAAAATGAATTGTGCCCACTTAAAGTGAGAGATGGGAATGGCAGATTTGACAGTACTCATTTCAGGTCTCAGGTGTTTTCCTGCAGCACGTCTGATCGTGGCTGAGACAGTGTGGTGTAGTGGTTAAGAGCGGTGGACTCGTAATCTGGTGAACCGAGTTCGCATCTCCGCTCCTCCTGCTGGGTGACCTTGGGCTAGTCACACTTCTCTGAAGTCTCTCAGCCTCACTCACCTCACAGAGTGTTCGTTGTGGGGGAGGAAGGGAAAAGGAGATTGTGAGCCACTTTGAGACTCCTTAGGGTAGTGATAAAGTGGGATATCAAATCCAAACTCTTCTTCTTCTTCTTCTTCTTCTTCTTCTTCTTCTTCTTCTTCTTCTTCTTCTTAACACTGGGGGTTCAGCCATCCATCCAGCTGAAAGGCAAAAGAAGGACTCCATTGAAAAAATAAAAGAGGTGGCATTGAAAGCTTCCTGCTGATGTCAAACAGGTAGCACAAGGGCACACATGCCAGCCTTTTGCAAGGGTGTTTGGAAATACCTTTGGCTTGCAGCAGCGTACATCTAGAGTGTGGGGAACTGCCTCAGACACAGTAATTTGAGCTTGGCTCCTGCGCAAGTCTGTACACACGAATGCAAATTGCACAGGAGCAGATATGGGAGTGAGCTGGTACACAGCAGACATAGCCAGACAAGGGAATAACATTGGGCATTATGCAGAGCACCCAACACGGAGCATGGGAGCCCTTTAGAGCTCATCTCTAGGCAGAAAGTCACATGATTAGAGCAAATATGAGAGAGCGTAATTGCACCAGCAGTTGGCTTGGCTTCAACTGAGGATAAATCAGTGTAAATACATATATACGTGGCTTACTACTGTTGGGTATAGGCAACCTTGCATGCCTACAGTCAGTACAGGGAAGGGTTGAGACTAATACAGAGTCAGGGGAAATAATCATTGTGGTTTCCTACTAACACCTAAACTATGCCCCTTCCTCCTATGCTCTCTCTCTCTCTCTTTTCTTGCATGAGGATGTCAAGACTGTAGCTCCAGTCATGTAGTGCAGAATCTGAAGCTATCCTTGTGAACATTGTTGTAGGTTGTTGTGAGCGGGGACTCACAGGGATTAGGCTGCGTGATGCCTAAATCCCTTCTAATTCCAAGCAAGACCTTCTGAGGTGTTAATGCTGTGAGCCATTGCAACTTAGGCTCAGGTTGCATATATGGGCAAATAAACCATATATCCTAAAAACACCACAGTCTCCTCTGCCCCTCATTCCAAGAAAACCAAACTCTGGGTATATACCTCGAACCCCTGGATTCTTGCACTGCTCAGAGATTGGGGTGGGGTGCATGTAACTGTTAAGTAAAGCACCTTTACTTTACCAGTGGGGCTGCTGTGTGTTTTATTGTTCATTTTAAGCAATGCTAGTGATGTGTGAATCAGACAATATATATGGTGGGACTGAGTAGCTCCAGATTTTAGCTCTGAGATTAGATGATAGATGATAGATAGATAGATAGATAGATAGATAGATAGATAGATAGATGATAGATAGATGATAGATAGATGATGATAGATAGATAGATAGATAGATAGATGATAGATGATAGATATAGATAGATAGATGATAGATAGATAGACAGATAGATAGATAGATAGATGATAGATATAGATAGATAGATGATAGATAGATGATAGATAGAACCAATTTTATTTTTAAAAAACCCAGATACTACAGGGGTGGGGAACCTCATGGGTGCTCTGGGTACATTTCCAAGCACAATTCAAAGTGTTGGTGTTGACCTTTAAATCCCTAAACAGCCTCGGCCCAGTATACCTGAAGGAGTGTCTCCACCCCCATTGTTCTGCCCAGACGCTGAGGTCCAGTGCTGAGGGCTTTCTGGCAGTTCCCTCACTGTGAGAAGTGAGGTTACAGGGAAACAGGCAGAGGGCCTTCTCAGTAGTGGTGCCCGCCCTGTGGAACACCCTCCCATCAGATGTCAAAAACAACTACCTGACATTTAGAAGACATCTGAAGGCAGCCCTGTTCAGGGAAGTTTTAAATGTGTGACATTTTAATGTATTTTTAATCTTTGTTGGAAGCCGCCCAGAGTGGCTGGGGAAACCCAGCCAGGCGGGCGGGGTACAAATAATAAATTATGATGGTGATGATGATGATGATGATGATGATGAAGGGCCTGACAGGGACACTGGGAAACCACTTTTGAGCCCCTGGCCTGAGGTTCCCCATCCCTGTTTTAAACATGATGGTTGTGCTCTGCTTCCAAGATCAGAGGCAGTCACACTTCTTTAAAACCAGTTGCTGGAAACCATAGGACGGGAGAGTGATCTTGTAACTCTGGTCCTTCTCACTGGTTTCCCACAGGCATCCGGCTGGCCATTGTGGGAACAGGATGCTGAACTAAATGGGCCATTGGCCAGATCCAGCAAAGCTCTTCTTATGTGATCATGGCTCCCTTTAAATGAGTGATACATGGGCGGCTTCTTTCTGTGCAGCTTCTGCCTGTGCTCCCTGGTTTATTAAGCGATATCTTGTACTCCATCTGGATGTTACAGAATTTCGTAATGAACATCGCTAACAGACTGCATAATATATCTAAGGTTAGAAAGCAATTATTCCAAGGGAGAAATTATCCAAACAAGACACACGTTTCTAATGCACGCTGATCCCTCCCCACCCTGCCACTACAAATTGTTGCATATAGCCCAGAAAGACGCACTGGTTGCTAAAAATAAACCAACATTAATGATAGAGGAATAAATTTGATTTGCAGCCGCCGCCTCATTTCCATTAAAGGCTGCACCACTTAAGGAATATATCTAAACCTGGATAATTTATGAATTCCTTAACTTTCATTTGCATACTATGGTAACATGAATGTAAAAAATAAAGATGTGTGCAGCAAGTTCTGCTACTCTTGATGTCATAATGCCAAGTAGGGAAAACAGAGAAGAGCACAAGAATGGCCCATCTAGCCCAGCAACCCATCATCTCAGTGGTCATGTAGATGCCTGATCAGTACATGAGCACTGTACTCCTTTCCCAACTCGTGATTCACATCAACTGGCACTCAGAGGCTTCCCTGACATAAGATGAGCTGATACCCACAAGTCTAGGCATTCTTTGAAAAAAAGAATTTGGCAAACAGACAGAACATAGGTCTGCCAAGAACAATCAGTCAAGTGCAACCTGCATGTTCTGGGTGTTAGGATATTGATGTTCCATTCCACCTTAAGAACAGGCATGTGGAGTTGTTGTATGTCCTTCCAGCACAGCCTGCTGGGAACTTCCGTTGTGTATAGCTTTTGCTTATGCTTCCTGCTCTTGGACATGAAAGAGAGCAGGCATGTTTTCTTTGTCCTGAACTATGCTGAATAAACTGCTTGTAAATATGCTTTACATATGCCTCTGTCCGCCAATTCTGTTACGTGTTATTCACTCTGCTGATTGAGGCGTGCTCAAGCTTCTGAAGCTGTGTGCCGCTGTTTTGATGCTGTTCCAAGGACTGGAGTTCACCCGGCTGCCGGCTGGTGGGCTGGAGCCAGCTGAGGGCCTGTGAATTGCCCCCGTTCCCTTGGACACATCCCAACACTGGGAACACTAGGTGGAGGGGCAGGACCGGAGTGGGGAGCTCCTGCTTGCCAGCTTCTGAGAGGCATATCTCTGGTCACTGTGGGAAACAAGATCCTGAAACAAATGGACCCTCAGTCTGGCTCAGAAAGACTTGAGCAATATAGGGTTGCCATATCTTGAAGAGGACAGCCCAAGAAACTGCCAGCCCGAGCTGGAGGAAGGAGGCATAGGAGTGTCCAGTCCTTTTTTTCTGGGGGGATGCAGGGGTACACATACCCCTAAACATTTTGTCTTGCCCTGACTGCCGGATGGACGGACCAACCGACGTGCCAACTGTCTCTGCACTAGCAGCGCGGACTGGAGCTCCGTCAATCTTCCCACCGGTGCACAGGGAGGGGAGTCTGGGGCGGCCACGGTGGAGGCGATGGCACTGCTCCTTCTCCTCCTTTTGCCTGGTTAGAGCCAGCCAGCGAACACTCACCCCTCCTTGCTCAAGCCAACCCCGATGTCGCTGGGGGCCTTCCCGTCCTCTCAGTGCCGCTGCTTCGA